AGTCTTAAAGTTACCAAGGTTGGACACCCCTGATCTACACCATTTTCATCTGAAATCAAAGCAGCGGCATTGGAATCCTCAAATCTGAATTTTGTTTTTTTGTTTTTTTCCCTCCCATTTCTCAACTTCCCAGTGCCTGAAAAAAATTGGCTGATAATCCACATTTAATGGCAATGTTTACCTGGTCAATGTCTGTCTTCTAACAAACAGAGCAGGCAGGCGGATTAAACAAGGCTACAGGATTATTCGGGATCCAGAAAATATGCTTTCCCCAAACACCAGAGGCCTCTCTTTCTCCCCCACCCATCCTCCTGTGTTTACGCCATGCGCTCGCATCCAATTCCAAGAATCCCTTTCCTCGTGAAATTAAAAGCCGCTTGCGGCCCCTGTTATTCTGAAGAGCTCGGCTGGATCTTAGCCAGGCTGGGGGAAGAGGAAAAAAAAAATTAACTGACATTGCAGCTTCGTGTTTATCTGCCTGAGGTGGGAGATAAGCACATCCCCGCAGCTGGGGTGGCTGGAATTCGACCAAAAACTCCCTGCGGAAAAAAGTTGTCAACAGCCTTCCCCCCACCCCAAACATCTGCAGGGGGGGTGTTGGGAACCAAAATGCAGGTGAAAACATGCTGTGGACTTTGAAGTTTTCCTCTAGGTCAGGAATCTGCAGTTTCCCAGTTAGAGTTTTCCGACAAGAGGACCATTGAAAAAAAAAACACATGTATTTGGGAAAGATTCGAAAGAGTAGGAATCAATTATTCCAGCAAAAAAGAAGTTAGTTAATATTGCAGCCGCAATCGCTTTAAAATTCTTTCTTTTTCTTTCCTTTACCTTTTTCTTTCTTCCTTTCTTCCCTTTATCTTTCTTTTTTTGCTTTTTTACTTTCTTTCCTTCCCTCCCTGCCTGATAAACAAAACAGGTTTCTAGCCCTCAACACAACAGGGATAAACTTGAAACTGGAGAGGTCTGGGCTAAGATTTCTAGAAATCAAAGAGAAGGTTTAGTTAATGGCCCTTTTATTTCCCCCTCCCACTTCAAATCCCAGAATTCTCCAGCCAGCGTGCCTTGAGATGGGTGGACTTCAACTCCCAGAATTCCCCAGCCAGGATGCTTTAAAGTAGATGGGCTTCAACTCCCAGAATTCCCCAGCCTGCACGTTAGTTGAGGAATTCTGGGACCTGAAGTCCACATGCTTGAAAGTTGCCAAGGAGAAACTCTGTTCTAATTTAATAATTAGAAATTTGACATTTGCAGGCCGTGTTCCTTACAGATCCCTGCAGGGATCGCCTCCCACCAACCCTTCCAAGCACGGTATTTTCACCAAACAAACAGCCTCTAGGAACTTTCAGTCCAGCCAAAACACAGACCAGTTCTCAGAATCAAAAATAAAATTTTAAAAAAACACAATCAGGACATCTGTCAAGTTCCCTCCTCCAGTCTTGAGAAAGCTCCGGGGGTTGGAAAATGAGACATAAACAGATCCCCGTGATGAGAAACAGAAAATTGTCGGTGGGACAGCAAGATTAAAGGATCGGTCAGCCTCGACAGCTGGGAAAAACTCTAGGAAGGCTTCCAGATTCATCAAAGAGATTGTAAAGGGAGATGAATTTAATGAACCAGCTTGTCCATCTCTCCAAGCCATGATCTGATTAAATCAGAGTTAGATGGACGAGCCACAACTTAACACGATGTGCTAAGAGCACAAATCCTTGTTTATAAATATTTTTTGGGGGGTCCCCCCCCTTTTAAGTGATCTGTTGGGCTGTTTGTATGAAAAACTCTGTAGTTCTCTCTCTTTGCAAGGATCGAAAATGACTTTGTTTTCCCTTTAAAAAAACATTTTTTAAAAAAAAATCACTAATGCAGGAGCAACAATTTGATCCCTGAAAAGGATAAATTTCATCCTGTTGAAGTGCAGATTTAATAGATGGTTACACAGTTTGCTTATCATTAATGGCATTTTGTGGAAAGGAGAAGTATTTAAAACTCAGCTCATTTTTTCTTTAAAAGTTCATCTATATCCCATATAGATTCCTTGGCATATATTACAGGTACTGTTCAACTAAACAAATCATTTGCTAAACAAATAATTCCCTCAACACTATCAAACTACTTACTAAGTCTGCATTACTATTACTATTAATCTTCTCATCACTCCTTATCGCCCATCCCCTCCCACTTGTGACTGTATGGTTGTAACTTTGTCGCTTGTATCCTGACGATTTTTATTGACTATTTCCTAGTATGATTTGATGGCTTATTGTACCCTATGACTATTATCAAGTGTTGTACCTTAATGATTCTTGACTTTTGACAAATGTATCTTTGCTTTTATGTACACTCAGAGCATTTGCACCGGGACAAATTCCTTGTGTGTCCAATCACACTTGGCCAATAAAGAATTCTATTATAGTCTATTACCACCATTTTAAGTTACAAGGGCACTAAAAAATGTGACTTATGACCGTTTTTCCAGTTACGAATTTTGCAACATCCCCATGGTCACGTGATTTAAAATTCAGACGCTTGGCCATTGGTTCATACTTATGACTGTTGTTGCAGTGTGCCGGGGTCATGTAATCCTCTTTTATGACCTTCTGGAGAGCGATGTCAAAGGAGGAATCAGATAACAGATAATCAGAGTTGGAAGGGACCTTATAGGTCATCTAGTCCAACCCCCCCCCCGCCCAAGCGGGAGACCCTACACCATTTCTGACAAATGGCAGTCCAATTGTGAATCCGGATTCACTTAAAAACCTTGTTACTAATTCAACAAGTGCAGTGATTCACAACTGTGGCGAGAGATCGTGAAATGGGGCAAAACCCACTTAACAAATGAATTTCGGGGCTCCACTATGGCCCTTCAGTCAAGGACTAACCTGTATAATATTTCCTGAATATGAACTGCAGTGGATTCAACTGCAAGCAAGGCACAGGATCTATATTTATCGACTGGATTTGTTTTTCCTGGCTGCACTAAATAAAATTCACTGGAAAAGGTCATCCATCCTGTTTGCACCCAGATGACCCAAATAAATATCTCGAATTTCTAGGAAGCTTGGAAAGATCACGCACTGATCACAGGTTGCCATCCAGACGTAAACACCACAGAGGGCTAGAGATCCTTTTTCAGGGGTGATTCGCCAAAGGCTGTTTGGGTGAGATTACTTTGAGGAAGATCGGGAAACTGCGCAAAAGGATCATTTGTAGGATCGGTGTTCAGATTGGACGGCTGGAGAGGGACCTGTTTGCAGGTAGAGTCCTCGATGTACGGCTACAATTCAGGCGGGGGCCCACGTCGCTAAGCGAGGGCATTCTGGTTCAACACTGATTTTCGTACCTTTCTTCTTTGTCAGTGAAACACTGAAAGTTGTTAACCGAGTCACACGGTCGTTAAGCGAATCTGATTCCCCCCCCCACCGATTTTGCATGTCGGAAGTCACCAATGGCAATTATGTGATCCCGGATGCAACTCATGCTGGTGGCCAAGCGTCACCAAATTTTGATCAAGTGACTCTTGGAATCCTGCGATGGTCGTAAGTCTGGGGACTGGTGGTTAAGTCACTTTTTTCCCCAGCGGTGTTGTAACTCTGCTAGTCAAATGAATGGTTATAAACTGAGGATTACCAGAAGATCAGGTTTCTTAGCATGGAATAGTACAAGATTTTCTTACGCAAGGCAGCTGCCTGGATTCCCGTCAGGGTAGATCACCCTGGATCTTTTTTTAAAGGCAAATTCCAAACCGTCTCTGTCTGCCAAGCGAAGACACATAGCTGAGCTGGGCTCACTGACAGAAACCACCGTAAGGTTGTGGTTAGGCACAAGGGCTTGAAGATCTGGCACCACCCAGAATGGGGGAAAGGTTCCTGAAATTAGCTGAGGCGGCTTAAATGGACTTCTTCGATAAGAGAAGGCACAATTCTCAGCCTTGATAAACTGATTGCCAACGCCTTAAAGGCTTTCCATAAAACAGAAAAAAAAAATCAAATTACGATTTATGGTTCAGATGATTATAGGATAGATTAGGAAAAGAAGGGAGGTTATGTTGTAAGAAGTAAAGGTATATTTGTACTTAGAACTGCTGTAAAGAAAATGAGAACCTTTTTTCCTGATTTTTCTTTTCCTTGCTTCGTTTTTAGTCTTTCCTTCCTTCCATCCTTCCTGTTTCCTCTCTCACAGTACACACGATATCTTTTTTCAACTCCCCTTCCCATCACCTCAATTTCTTTCCTTCCCCCTCCTTCCTCTTGTTCTCTCCTTTCCTTCTTCCCTCCCTCCTCCCATTCTCTCCTCCCTCCCCTCCTTCTCTTCTTCCTTCCTTCCTTATCCTTCCTTCCATTTCTCTCCCCTTCATTATCCTCCTTCCTTTTTTCTCCCCTTCATTCTCTCCTGCTCCTTCCCTTCCTTCCTTCCATTTCTCTCCTTCATTATCCTCTCCTGCTCCGTCCCTTCCTCCTTCCTTCCATTTCTCTCCCCTTTACTCTCCTGCTCCTTCCTTCCTTCTTCCCATTTCCTTCCTTCCTCTTCCTTCCTTCCTCTATTCTCTGTTTCCTTTTAGCTTATATTAGTTTTTAATGTTCTTTTAAATGTTTTTAAATAAAACCTTCTACTAAAGCCCCCCCCCCCAAACCAGCCAAGACAGAATGACGCCAGAACTATGCCCTCTGTCAAAGGTGACACGGTGATACCTCTTAAGGAACGCCAAGTCCTGCCAAAGCTCACCTTTCAGATAAGGAAAACAAACGCTCAGCAAATCCAGAAAGGAACAAGAGATATGAGAAAGGGGGGGGGGGGGGAGAAGAGAAAGAAACAATGGATAAGGGAGAGCCAAGGAAAGATAAATAGGTGGAGAAAGAAAGTTAAGATAGAAAGAGAAGTAGATTTAAATCCCATGCAAAAAAAGGTCAGAGGTTATCACAAAGAACTGTGTACCCTCAAAATCTTGAGTGTAACCGAAGAGAACCAGAAAATTTTTATTAAAGGTATTAAAGGCTGCCTCCCTCCATACATTTAGATTATTCCCTCAAGCCAGGTTCAGCTTTCTAATGGATTTTAGTCTCTTAGAGCTGGCAGATATAATAAGTCTCATGACTGAAGGCAAATAATTTATATCTAAATATTATAATATGTAAGATACATTATACATTATTTGCCTTATGCTATAATAAATCTAATACAATCTCCATCAGCATTTACAAAATCTCCATCGGTCAATTGCAACAGAGGCTGAAGGCTATCCATGGTTTGCATCCGCCAGCAATTTTTAATTTATTTATTTTTTGAAGGTTATTCCACTGGCTCTCCTTCTGGCAATCTCTTCTGCCAATCTCCCACAACCACAACCCTGTGAGGTAAGGCCAAGCTCAGAGAGGAAGACGGGTGCAAATCCATCCAGGAGGAAGCTTCACATCCTAAATTCTCATTTTTGCTCCCTTAAAGTGATAATGATCTCTGTCAACATTATAAAAAAAAAAAAAAAGAGGTGCCACAGGAAAAAGGTTGATGTGCCAAAAAAGAGAGCAAAAATCCGGATTTTTTTATTTTTTTTTTTTTTTTTTTTTTTTTGGGGGGGGGGAAGAAAGAAGGAATAAAATCCACTTTCTGTTTCTAAACCACCCTGGGTGCAAAGCCATCAGATGGCTGGGAATTTGCTTGGATGGGCAAGCCTTGCCATTTCCTGGCTTAAGCCTACCTTGTCAGGCTGTTGTGTGAGTGACAACTCACTCTGCCTCTCACTTGCAGAAAAGGACCAAAAAAAAAAAAAAAAAAAGACATAACAAAAGAAAAACTGCTGCTTTGGAGCCTGAGATGGACAGGATATAAATTCAATATGTTGACTTATGCAATGTAGGTGCCTCTTTCTTGCAGCTTGGGGCAACCAAATCAATGAACAGAAGAAAAGAAGCCAAAGTATTTCTGACCTTGGATCCCCCAACCCATCCCCAGCCCTCTGGACTGCCATGCCCATCCTCCCCAGCCTCGAGAATGCAATATATATATATATATATATATATCATTTTAAAATGCAGAAGGTTGTTAAGGCTTGCAAAAAAAAGGGTGAAACGGCTTACCTCGGCTCCCCTGCTGCCCCATCTCTCTTTCGGGGTCCGCTCTCTCCTGAATCACCATTGGCGTCTCCCCACCACCTATCTCTCCGGTCCCTGGAGCCGCCATTTTGGTTCCCTCTCAATGCAGAGGCTGAGGTTGCCGTGGCAACAGCAGCTGCAATCAAGGATGCTTAGGAGGAGGAGTGGAGGAGAAGAGAAAGAGGAGGAGTAGAGGAGGAGGATTAAAGCAGATTCCTTCTCTTCATTTTAAATCAAAGAGGCTGGGGGCAAGGCCTCCCCCCCTCCTTATTATTCCAAAAATAATCCACCCTTGCTGGTAGCAGAGCAGGTTTTTTTTTTCCACCTTCTTTCCCTCTCTTCAAATACAAAAATTCGGAAGGTATTTTGGCAAATGCTCGAAGCTCCTCCAAATTTTTGGAATTGGAGGGTCAGAGGAATTAACTTTAAATGTGGCTTTGAAAGTACAAAATATATATATATAAGGGCTTTGAGTAAGAATGACCTAATGGCATTGCTTGGCAAAATTTAAAATTAAAAGATTAGACAAGTTAGTTAGCTAGTGAGTGAGTGAGTGATAGATAGATAAAGAGAGATATTTTGATGTAGACACAGATCAATAGAGACAGATATAGTTTGGTAGAAATAGATAGATGATAGATAGATAGATAGATAGATAGATAGATAGATAGATAGATAGAT